CTCATATCACCCTCACACTTATTTTACTAAAAATGAATGGCTAATATTTAATTTTTTTTAATAAAAATTAAAACATGTGGGTCTAATTTAAAACTAGATACATGAGACCAAAAGTTGGGCCGTCTTTATGTTTTTTAATCAATCATTCAATTTATGTTTCTTAATTTTAATTGACTCATATATGTTAACATTAATTATGTGCATAGCAATTTATTTGTATAATACTAACAATGACTTTATTTTGTTTCAAGATAATGAAAACTATTTTATTAAAGAGACAATTTTATAAATAAAAAATATCAGGAAATTAGTATGACAAATACTTTATTATATTGAATATCCCATATATGTTTCTTTTTTGTAAGTTTAATGAATTTAATGTTAAAAATTTGAAGGAAAAAACATATTCTATGTTTTAATCACATACTGTCGCACATTATTGTTGTTTCTAGAGTTATAATTTTTTTTAATAAAAATTTTAAGATGTGATAAATCAAAAAATTATTATACTTTTTATTGAATAACTTTTCATTCATTTGAATTATTATGTACCCACATCACTTATAACATTAGGCCGCGCATCGCGCGGGTAGCGTACTAGTAACAAATTATGGCTGAGCATGAGACTCGGAGAATTTCGAATCGTTTCGAAAACTAAACCGAACTCACTCCGAACCGAAAAATAAACGTTGGCCATTTGACTTTCCCCGAATCGAACCAAACCGAAAAATTATTGGTACGGTTCTAGAGATTTCACAAATATCCGTTGCGAGAACCGAATCGAATCGTACCAAACCGAAGAAGCATAATTAAGAACCAAATTATAACATTCAATGTGTGTCATTGATGTATTTTATGTCAACTTTGATCATATATGATTTGAGAATTTTTTAAAATGTAAATAAAATATAGCAATAATAATTAAGTTTTACTTAAATTTCATGGTTAGTAATACTTGATCTATAATTGAATTTTTTCCTACTATAAAATAATTATTTAAAATGATATGAAAGGTTAAAATAATATTTTAATAAAAAAATATTATTTTGTTTGAATTTTAAATTTTCAAAATTAGTTGCACAAATTTAGTCATAACTAAAATTTAGAGTTAGTTGATTTCAAAACACAATCTTTAATATGAGAAAGTAATGATGAATGTTTTTTTTTTTTTTAAAAGCATATAGAAAATTAAATAACTAAAATCTATAGTTACTTCTAAAGTTGATTTAAAAACAAAAAATTCAATATGATTAAGTATTTATGAATATTGCTTTTTTTAAGCATATAAAAATTAAAATACAGTCATAAAAAAAATTAGAAAAAAAAAGAAATCTTTAAAAATCCGAACCAAACCATACGGAACCGAACCGTTTCGATAGTCCCGAATACCAAGCCGAAAAATAAAATCTCCGAACCGAATCGTACCGAATTTTTGGTACGATTCCGAAGATCGAATTTAGTGATCTCCGAATTATGCTCACCTCTATAACAAATCATGTCAATTTTTCATAAAATGGTGATGTACTTCATAATCTCTTATATATAATTTCTAAATGTTCTAAGATTGAGTGGCAAACTCTCATGCTTCGGGATCTAATGTGATAAATTTTCATGTTTTGTCATCAACCTTTGATGGAATTTAGTTTATTTTCAATCTAAAAGTAATTAGGTTCTGAATAGTCATAAATTATATATTTATGATTATTTTTTTAAGGGCATTAAGTATGTGACTTTCCTATTAGAGGTGATTTATAAGACGTAATTTTTTTTCTCAATTTTTCTTTTTTCCTCACATTTCTTTTAAAATTATGAAAAAGTAGATTTAAAAGTTAATAGTTTTTCATTTATCGTTAATTTTTTTATACATAATATATCAAATTAATCACGTCCCACATACGGCGCCAATAATAGTGAAATTGACTTCACCCGGGCTCCTTCAACTCAAACGGTCTCCATACCTGCAATTGCCCAATGCCGGAAGGGGTCCTGACGTCGGGTCTCCGATGCCTAAGTCAGCACTCGCTAAAATGAGAGCGTAGTAATGAATGAAGAGAAAATGAGTTAATGAGATACCTTATCTACCTTTTATAGGGGGAGTGCACCTTTAGAGTCCAAGTTGGGCTTGACCCATACCATTATGCAATATGTCTTAGCCCATATGTGACTTATTCTCCAATATGTTCCTTCTTATCCATTAAAACCAGTCTAGTATAATATCTTATATCAATATTGATATATGATATTATACTACACCCGGTTTAATAGAGAAAGCGAATACATATTGGAGGATAAACTCACTAAGGCATCTAAGCATAACGATATGGGTCAAGCCCAACTTGGACCCAAAAGGTACACTCCCCCTATAAAAGGGGACCAAGGTATCTCATTCTCTCATTCTCTATTCATTCCATACTACAGTCTCTCTCTTGATCTGAGCATTGACTTAGGCATCAGAGGCCCGACGCCGGGGCCACCCCCGGCGTTGGGTTCTGCAAGTGCGGAGGTCGTTCGAGTTGAAGGATCCCGAGTGAAATCTACTTCACTTCATTGGCACCGTCTGTGGGACCCGTCAAAAAAGTTAAGCGGAGTTCCGAATGAAAAAATTCAAAAACCTCCTTCTTCTCCACCGGCCACCGCCACCGTCGGCCGCCACCTCCGCCGCTGG